CTATAAGAAAAAAGAGTTGTGACACAGTTTTCTGCCTACTATTGGCATGCAATCTGTCTTTTTCATTACAGTTGTGAATTTCTTATAAAAAAAGCTTTGAACGTACTTTTTTATTAAACATATTGACTGATAGTAATTAATGAAAGACAACACCAAGTTCTAAATAGAACAAAGGTCTCTCAAAGTTCTTTCTCAATTTGTAACTTCACACTTGGTAATATTCATCACCAGAAACCTTTTGTGATTTGAAAAGAGCTTTGACAATCTTGCATCGATAGAAATCTTATTTACCAAGTATTTCTGAAATTCAAATGACTTGTTTAATAAAAAAAGGATTTTAAACAATCTTTATTTGACATTTAGCATATTGAGAAACTATTTTTCAGACTTTGATCGATAGTTTAATAGAAAAGACATTTTCAGGTTATTGGCGGATATGACTATTTGTGGTATGTGTCCACGAGATTATGATCCAAGTGCGTTACGGTTCTACATGGATACAACTAATTTCTGATTTTTCTTTCAATAAGCCCCTCTCATTGTCGCTTAGATACAGTATACTGCCATTTTGATTCAGATGATGAGAAATGTTTGGAAGTGCTCGGTTCCTGTACGGTAATTATCCCATGAGAATACTGCTTATATTTTCTGTGTATGTTTTCGGCCGTTCTCGATAGAAATGAAGCAGGCATTAATTGCAAAACAGATGATTTTCAAATTTCTGCCATATTCAGAGATCAGAAATATTGACTTGGGTGCTCGCAATAGAATTGTTATACTATTTCACTGAACATATCCATAATATTTACAAGTGTTTTGCGTAGGAAAATTTACAAATTTGTTCTAACTAAAACAACCTAATCTACTCTCAAGTCACATAGGCCAAGTAAATGTTTGGCATGTAAGAGTAACATTGATTCATATGTTGTTGAAAGAAATCTGATAATAAGTCATAAAAGCCTATGATTCATTCTTTCTTTTAGTTGAGCAGTAACTCATTAGAATAATGTCTCAAGTTTTTACAGAGATGAAGAGCGGTGCGTTGTCGTTACACACATTGCATCATTATTTTTTCTTCATCGATCGCTTTCATGGCAGCTAAACAGAGTTTTAACAACCATACGCTTGTCGATTTTGACAAACTCTTATTTGGCGATTCAAGTGAAATACATCATTTACAAAATGAATTTGAATCTCATGGTTGGTGCTTTATTCGATTACCCGACAAACATGGCGAACTAACTAATAAGCTCAACGAAATACAAACCATACTCTCAGCTTCTTTTGCTCAAAATCAAACTGAAAAGTCCCAATATGAATCATATAATGCCTTTGGCTATTCACGTGTCGGTTATAAAGAAGGTATTAAAGTACTTATTGATCAAAATGGTCTTAAGAATTTTCACCATCGTTTAACAAATGATGTAGAACAAGTGTTACAATATCTGCAACATTACTTAATAATTTAACTAGTGTTTTAAAAAATGTCATGTTCAAAATGCCCATATGTGTACAAAATTCTAGTGATAAGATAGTAGAATTATCTCCGTTTGGTATGCTTGATATTGTAAATTATTACAATAGAAAATCAGGACCTAAAAAGCAGCCTAAAATCGGTCTAAATACAGATGAAGTCAATTGTGTTCCACATTTTGATCCAGGTCTTTTTTCATTAAGTATTCTATCTACATGTGAAGGCCTTCAACTGCAGGATCAATTACAAGATAAATGGGTTGATGGACCGAATAACTCTGCACTTGATCAACATTCTATTGGTGTCATATGGTTAGGTGAAGCGGCAAGTATTCTTACCAAAAATCGTTTTAAATCTGGTATTTATCGAGTTGTCTATCCACATGTAATACATAAGCCACGTCTTACTATTTGGCAAGAAATTTGCACCAAAGCTCAGATTGATCCATTAATTTCAAAGAAGAATAATTCGATTTTTATACCGAATAATACTAATATTCGAATGGTTAATCAACTGAACTCAGTGCCACTTCGTGTTCTGTCTGGCGGTGAGAATTTAAATAATTTTATGAGACGAGTTGAAAATGAACGTGGTCTATCAATAAGTAAAGCTGCTCCTCATCATGTTAAAATGATTTCTAATAATAATTCTAATACATATAATAGTGATGATGATGATGATCAATATACTTAGCAACAAAAAAATGATAATTTTTTGCCTGGCAGTGCCTCAGTTACAATGAAAAATCAACCGAATTCTTTACCATTTCAAATACAATTAGGAGGTAAAACAATGAATAATTTTATGATACGAGTCGAAAATGAACGTGATTTATCAATGAGTAAATCTGCTATTGAACATATTGAAATCAAATCTCCTGTTAAAGAGAAAACAATATCAGATTAGTCGAAGAAAAGAAGATCTATGTTTTCAAAACTTTTTAAATGACATTACCATTATCAGAATTATTTATACTGTTATTTTTAATAAACATGAAATTTTTTCGCGATAGAGCGAAATATAATTCACAGTTGGTCCACATTAAACAGAAATTACTTTTGCATCATAATTGTTTTGTTTCTTGTTATTTCTATGAACAACAACGTGTGATTAGGATTGAAAATAATATTTCAATCGATTTTTAACAGTAAAGCAAAATAAGAATATACCATGTTACAAATGCTTCGAAATACTGAAATCATTGATTTCAATGTAATACAGGAAAAAAGTTTTTTTTTTATGACGAATCACATTCAGTCTTTTACTTAATAACCAGTCGACATCATTTTTGTGGAATTACTGATATCTTAAACAGAGACAAAAAGAAGCATCAAATCTAAGTAACAATCAAGTTGATCGGTCCATTTTCTGAAAAATTCATGATTCAATCGGCAATCATATTTTCAGCCATCCTCAATAGAAGTGAACTGTTGGTTACGAATATGTTTTGTAATTATCAAGTATATCTATTAATAAACATACTATATTGCAACTAAAACACAAAGTCTCACACCTTAATAACATTTTTAGGCTCTAAATTCTAAGCTATAAGAGTATGGATGTGATTCTCTTATTCAGAACATTTACGCACATCGACATCCATATTTATTTCACATACACACTTGCAATAGCTGTCGTCTTGACGTGTTGTGACCTTTGTTGTAGCTCGTCTGTGAAGCACTGTTTGCTCAAACCAATCGAACAAGTCTAGGCTAGTATGGAGAATAACTTGCGAGGAACACATATGTAATTTCATTCAAGTGACGTTTGGCAGTTAGCATAACGATTGATGCCAACTTTAAAGCCAACCACAGTCGCTGCATATCTTAATCACATAGAGGAAATTGAGGCAACATTCAGTCGATAGGATTTCTGATTATCATTTCTGTAGAGAATTTTACATCATACATTTGAAAAAAAAGAACAAATGTACGATTTATCTGTATCGAGATATTTTCCAAATACCGAATGTTGTAATGTTATATCCTACTCGACATCTCTATTTGTGATTCTCTTCAATTATACGATTTTCAAAGAATTCCTATATATACAAGCAGATGTATAGAATAAAATTTATTGAAGTTTCATTACTGAAGAAAAAAAAATCCGGCGTACATACTTAACAAGGTTGTTAATGATTATGGTACACACTTACATGACTAATTTTTCCGCAAAAGAAATGAGCATATCAAATCAGATAAATAGTAGACGCACACATAGGCATAGTAGCAAGTTTTTTATCTCTCGTAATTAACTTCACTCACTGACATATATACACTAGTAAATAGCAAAAAAAAGACGAAAATAAAAAAACGATAAGAAAGACATGTAGTATTTTCACAAAACCAAAGAAAAACAAATGTACAAGAGAAAAATAACAAACTAGAAAGAAGATGTATCACCATGCAAAAAAACGAAGAAGAAAAGAAAAATATTGATAAGGAAAAGCGATGCACGCTACACATGTAACTCGACTTTGGGCAATGTTCATATAGTTTTTATTGTTAATTGATTCACTTGTATTTTTATCGTCTAAAAAGTAGAAAATAATTAATGGTGTAATAAATATTTAGTCGAAATGTGCGCATAAAAATAATATTCCTATTACAAAATGTGACCATAATACAGTTTGATTAGGATCATACTTTATTGTTGGATAATTTGTTAAGTGTAGCTTTTAGACATTCATTTTGATAATAGATCGTATTACTAGCTACTGAGTCTAAGACAGTTGCTCGCGAAAAGTGTGTATGTGAATCTTCTCTTCATACACATCCACACTTTAACTATTCATGACATGCATATTTTGTAGAGTATTCAGAGTTCCAAAGACTTTTTTGTCACCGTTCCGATCAATTATTTATGAAAGTCGTGGTATATTGATACAAAAGCGCTTTTAGAAGTTTCTGATGTAGTAACTGACATAATTGCTTTTAATGAGATTCTTTTGTTAGTGTATGCGGCTTATATATAAATGTTTTGTTGCATACAACTTTCATAATATTAGAATTTTCTCACAAGTCGTTAATTTTTTGTAGTGATGCATTTCATTATCTTATTCCAAATTCTTGTGAAAGTTCGTGCAGCGAGAAAGTGTTCGCATGAGCAACTGTTGTCTGTTTTTCCTAGCTACTGTTGAAAACACCTTATAACATGTTAAAATTCAGCTATAATGAAAAGAACGGCATACACTATTGTTTTTTGATGTTGTTACTCGTGAATGACACTCGATAAGCTTTTTTCTCTCGTGATTATGATTTCGTCTTTATATAGTCACAATAAATCCCCGTCTTAAAACTAACGATTGGATCATTCTATATTCTTACATCTAGTCATCATGGATGAGTCGTTCAGTTGCTCGACATGTATTAAATATCTATTGTGTTCAAAGCTCGGTATTACCAGCCATGGAATGATCCTGAAGAAGTCACTAACGCTTGTTTATCTCGGATCATCCATCCATGAGCACAAGAGCTCTGCATCAAACTGACCTTCCATTCAGAACTACGGCTAGAATCAGTTGTAAGGAACATATCGTGGTAAGACTCTGCTGCTAAGTAGTATTCTATAAAGCAAGATAATCAAAGAGCAGGATTATTATTATTATTCTTTAGTCTTACATGGAAATTAAATTCGTGAAATGTTTAAGATTTAAAGAATCAGTGTAATTATGATACTAACCAAGGAACAAAATTCGGTATCTATTCTGATCTTTGAAAATATGTCTTAAAAGTGTATTAGAAGGATGAAACTTTGTATTAAATATCGCTACAACTACTTCAAATGGGTAATGTAGATGAATAAATGGAATACCTTTTCTATGAATAGATAGATCCTTTGAATTCTGACATCTTTTTGACTGACTGAAGTAGATATAAATGAGCAGTACGAAGAAGTAGACTATCAACCGACTTTATGTAAGAAAATTTAATATTAATAGAAACAAAATCAGTGTCACTCTTAGATCTTTTTTGTTTTACCTTTCAAGTACATCTAATACATAATTTCGTCCAAGGTTATTATCCCAAAATTCTTGATTGTTGCTTTGTAAACAAATAGCAAAATAAATTTGTTTAGGAACTTTTGTATTATCATCATATTTTTTTAGACGTATTTCAAATGTAAATGTATCTGTATTATCATTTGAATAATGCATTGAATGACATCCATAAATATCTTCAAATGTTTTCCAATCATTTTCACTTATACGAACAAAGACACGTTTTTCATTATTACACATATGGACACGAACTGTTCCATATGCCAGTGAATCTTGTGTATATAAACATTCAAGCATTACTTGTCGTTGGTATATTAATGGGATTATATTTTTTGGAGAAGTAAAACATTTTGAAACTAAATAATATTGATTTGTTGATCTCTTAGAGTCAGTAAAAGATGCAGATAAAGATGATCGATGAAAACCATTTGACAGATCAAAAGGACATGGAGATGAAGATACGATATTTGACTGACTTTTAACTAACCATAATTGTTCCAGTTTATTACGAATACACTCTTGAATAAGTGAATTTGCCGCTTGATCTGGTGGAGTCATATAATGAATAGATTCCAGATCAAGGCCCTAAAAATAACAAATAAATATAATATCGAATATTTTACAAATGATATTCATTGCAGATTTAACCAAAAATTAAATGTTATGAATGACTATAGGTTTTAGAAAAAACAAATCAATCCTTAAGTCATGAATTAGTTTTGTTTATTATCTAATATCAAAAACATAGAACATATCTGAATATTATATGAGTTTCGAAATATCATCTATAGATATATAATGAATTCGAGTTTCAATAAAGTTTTTCTCTTATTAGAAGCAATATTAAACAAAACTAAATAATAATATTTCGAAAAAATCCACTAAACCAATTTATTCAGTCAAATCTTTTTTTTTTGTTATCTTTTTTTTCTGAATTTCTGAAAAGTTTAGAGTAAAAATATAGGGTTGTTTTACTTTAATTTTAAATCAAAAAC